AATGATTGTTTTCTTCTGTGAAGTATGTGCAGCAAATAGCCTCAAAACCATAGCTTTATCTTTACTGAACGTTTAGCCATATGCCCATGAACCACAATCTGAAACATGATGTGTTAGGGTTTTGAATATCCTAGTAAAATTGAACAATAACATGTCATATTGTCACCTTCAAATGGGTACATCCACCTATAGGGGACTGGATCACCAAGTAGGGCCTAATTATGGAAGATGGATATGGAGACTGTTGCCATAGAATCAAAGAATGAGGGAGGAAAAATTCTCACAATCTTGCAAAAGGGAATGAATTGGAATGTTTCTTCCTCTTCGCTAGTATCTCTGTTCAATGTAGTTAGAACAAAAATCTCTAAAGAAATGACTTATCTCTGTAATGGGATTCAGAACATGAGACGGTAAAGAACTAAATGCTATATGGAAGTAAGCATTACATAAACACAGGCAGTCATGACTTTTCATCCCAATGAGCTTTCCCTTATTCACATCAACACACCTTGACAAGTTAGAGAAATCCATCAGGCATCCTAAGACTTTTACCCAATGACAACTTGTTTTGTTTGGTCTGTGAAAGTGTATAATTTGCTTTTGGCTTATAATGTTTCCATTGCTATGAACTTTTTAGCTCCAAATCTTTTCGTCTACAGTTACCAAAGCATATCCATCCAGGACCTTGCATTGTCTTTTGTCTTCCCCGCAACATTCATCACAGTATTAAAGATGTTGTCAAAGAAATTTTTTTCAATGTGCATGAAGTCAAGATTATGCCTTAACAAATTATCCTTCCAATAGGGTAGATCCTAAAAGATGCTTTTTTCCGTCCAATTATGCCACTCACCGTATCCATCAATTCTTGGTGCACCATTTTTAGTTATTTTAGGATAATCATTAATTCTATTCCGAACTTCGGTCTCGTAAGATATGGTGGTGCGTCACCCATCTCCACTTCCCCCTTCTTGAAAGCATTCCTATTCCTCCTAAAAGCATGGTCATTCGGATAAAAAAACCTCCGAGGGGAGTCAAACCATGAAATGTTTTGCCACCTATAGATAAATCTAAAGCCTTGTATGCTCCATGCAATGTGGGCATGCCAGTTTACCAAGTTTACCATGAGTGCTCCAGCCGGAAAAACATACCATAAGCAGGAAAATCATTAATTGTCCAATTAGCATGGCCCTCAAATAAAGTTTGTTTCCTTGAAATATATATGTCATCACACCCATCCAAGCTTCTTCAATTCGTCTATCAAGGCTCTAAGTACACATCTATGCCAACTTTGGATGAATGGCCCGGGATGAGGAAAGGTCAAGAAACATGTAAGGTTTAGACATGCACATTTCTAGAGGAAGATTATAAGGGGTCACAATAACTGGCCAACATGAATATGGTATATTTGATGCCTGTACATATGGGTTAAAACCGTCAGAGCATAAACCGGTCATACATGCGTGGCTCGATACCAAAGTCAGGATATACTCTATCAAAGTGCTTCCAAGCCTCTCCGTCGCTGGATGACGCAAAAACACCCATTCGGAGGACATGTTCTGATAGTGCCATGTCATTTGTCCTGCAGTTTGTGTTGAGGCATACATTCTTTGTAGTCTGGGAATTAATGGCAAATAGAACATTGATGTCATAGGAACTTGTTTGTGTAGTAAGTTGCTCCCGTGTTACGTGGTTGATATCTTGGCTTTCCACAAATTTGCATTCAAGCAACGCGCCATCATTCTTACATATTCATATCATAGAAGGAGCATGCAACCATCCAACACAACAATCAATCCTCTGCGATGTTTAATCCCAACTTGATACACACTTTTTTGCATCGTAGTATGTTTTAGGGCCAAACCTGATTGATGGGTGTTGCATCCATAACCATTTTTGCAATAAAAATCTATGCATTGGTATAGGAATATTCCAATTTGACTTGCAAGCTAATAGTCTGTGTTGAGAGGGTCGCACCTCCCACAAAAGTTGTGCATAAAAGAATGCAGAGTATAGACTAGGAAGTGACTCCTAGGTCGTCTCTCAAGGACCAAATTGTGGTTCAGTCTCAGATCAAACACGTAGTGGGGGGGGTTTGTGATTTTTTTTTTGAATGCAAGTGAACTAAATCAAAACAGGAACATAAACACGGATGTAAACACAGGATTTAAAACAGTTGATCACTTAAGCTAACATCATAACTAAAATATCACAACCAAGAAAAAGAGAGAACATTAAAATGAAAAATGCTTAAACCAAATTGAAAGTGTAACATTGAGCTAAACAATTAAATGCAAACTGAGAATTAAAACAACCAATTTTAAAGCCTGGCAGTGTCGCTCCAAATTAAATCACACCTTGTCTCTAAAACTCTTTCACCGTGGCCTCCTCCATCAAAATTGATTTCTCTCTCCTTTAATCAATGCTTCTAACCTTTAAACAAAAAAAATCAATTCCCTACTGCTGAAACAAAAAGAAACCGAGAGCTAGTGCCATGTGGGTGGAACCGAAACGTGACACCACTCCCCTGCTCCACTTTCAGTGCACACCATAAGCTCTGGAATCGGCTACTTTCATTTTTTTTTTCAAAGCTTCACACGTCCCATCTCCTAGGGTGCGTGTTTCTCCCACGCTGTGGACACCTACTCCAATCTAATTCCTATCTTCATTTTTTATCCAACCACCGTATGTGCCATTCTTCTAGACATCCTTTTCCTTACCTTTATCCAACCTTCCGTGCACCATATCTACTCCTATCAAATCAAAAATTCTCAGAGAAAATGAAGAATTGCATCACGTGGGTGCTTCTTCTTTCTTCACGTAATTCACCAGCCACTGCCACTTTTTGCTTTCTAAAGTGGATGACTTATTCTCACATGGCAGCTGCACGTGACCTCCAGCAAGCTTGGAGGCTTTCTTCCAGCTAGTGGCAACTCTTTCTATTACAAAAAATGTTCAAAAGCCAAAAACCAAGTGAAGGTGACAGCCGTGAACGTTTTCAAATTAAAAATTGTTTGAACCAAAGAAATAAAAAGGGCCATGTTATCAGCAAAGAGAAAGTGAAGCTTTTTCTTCATTCATCATGAATGAGCGTAAAAAAACCATCTGAGACTTCAAGACACAAGCAAGAAAACCAAAAACGTGACAAGTGGCGGTTCTAACACGTCCCAGCTCTCCCCCGTAAAAGTCATCTCCTTTCACAAAGAATCAGCGTGTACCACTTCTATGCTGGACGGTTCAAACGCTTTCTTCTCTCCAGCAAAGAAAATAAACTCCAATCACACAGCTGAGATGAAAATGATTCACCGAGTGCTCCTCACAGCTCCTGGAATCAGCGCATCTTCTTTCCAAATTAAAAATCACTATGCAGTTCAATAATGAAGTATTACCGGACCGAAGCTTCACTCAAAAATTTTATGATCAAAATGAAATTAAATGGCAAATTCAAAACGTAACAGCGTGCCTATTTTTTTCATTGCTTCCAAACTTCAAACAGTGTTTCCAGCCCCTAAGAAAAAGTACCCCAAAACTACCGTAGTCTCCCCCCAAAACTCAAAAAGTATAAGTGCCCTAGTGCCAAGCTGGACCGTGGAGGGCTATGTGCGTGTGAAGTGCTTCTCCTCCAGGCCTCATCCCTGCTGCACCTCCCTTCTTCTCCAAGCACACACCTGCTGGACCTGGGCCGTGACCAATCTGGATGTGCTTCAGTTGAACCACTTCATTTCTGGATGCTCCACGCTGCTGCTTGCTGCTGGAAAAAATGCTGGAGCGTGAGTTGCTCCATCCTGGACGTGGACGTGTGCTGGAATGCTGGAATCCCGTGTGCACCCCCTCTCCAAAAATGAAAGCTTCCTTTTCTTTCTGCACATTCTTTTTGCTAGACCGAAAAGTTGTGTGGTGTTGCTGTGCTACTTCCAAGTGTGGGCCGTGTGCTTCAATGTGTGGGCCTTGTCTTCCATTTGCTAAAAGAAAAATAGATTCCTTTGTGTTGGCAGGCCTTAAGGCCGGAGATGCAATGTTTCCAAAGTCTTGCTTCTTAAAATTTAATAAATAATTGAAAGACTCTCTCCACTTCACGTGTGCAGCCCCATCCAATTCTATATTCTTCAATTTCAACATTTGAGTACAAGAGCCGTGTGCTCACCAAAATGTGCTGGGAATGTGAAGCCATCATGTATATGTGTTGCACATTCCAGCCAAAAAATGTGGTGGCTCCCACAGTAGCTCTCTCTCTTTTCAAGAATAAATTACCGCATGCACCTCCAAAAACTACATCCACACCTCCTCAATCATTTTACCTCTAAATGTCCCCAAATGTATTTCCAAAATTTTCCCTACAATTAATAATGCAAATAATTAGCTCAAATCATTCAAATAGTTAAAAAAGAATTTCCGATCAAATTAAGCACAATTAGGAAAATGGGAAAATACTGGACATTTAAGCACAATTTCCTAATTAAATTCGGTACAATAAACTAAGTGAAGTGAACAAAATATTGACTCATCAGTCTGACACACATTGATAATTTCGATTCTGATGCTCCTCCATACAACGGCTGGTTTGCATCCAACAAAAAATTAAAAAACCTTTGTGTTTTTCATTCGGAGCCTCTTCAATGTTATTAGAAGCAGATGCTTGGCAGGACTCATTTTGCCTAAGAGCATCATGCACCATGTCTTCCATGTATTAAATTGGTAATTTGACCCACATTCCGTCTCTACAGCCATCCAACTTTGATGATTCTGTACATCATCTTCTGGCAATCTTTCCCCCTGATCCTCCCAAATGAAATAATTAGGCTTTGAAAACCGTTCTTGTAAAGGTGAACCTTCACAACTCTTTCATGTAGAATTTTGTACAAGCGCACTTTAAACATGGACATCGAAGACCCCCATCCTACGATAACGTTCTTGTTCACAAGCTTTAGTTATAAACTCTTCAACACCTAATACAAAAGCCTATTTCAAAGCACCTCTTCCTCTATGACACCTATCGTACATCCATGCACGATTTGGTGGAGAACGATCCATGTTCTGTACATAAATCGATTACAAAACAATTAGCCAATGCTTAAATACTCTCTATTATTATGACACGTACCCTATCAAATGGCTTCCTAAAGAATAACCTAAATTAATTTAGGTCCTCTTCTCTCTATCTTAGAATGTTTTTCAACTGTCTCTATCTTAATACTTGTTTTGTACATGTAAATCCTATGTACAATTATTGTTTATATTAATCACTATGTACAATATTGTTTTAAGCTTTCAATATAGAAGGATATTGGACAACCTACAACGTTGAGCTAAAACCTTCACTACAACCAAGCATGTTAAAGAAATATCAAATTAGGGTAGATAGTGGTTGATGTGTTTAATTGTTTAGCTAATAATTTTAATTAAAAAATCAACATTTAAAGAACTAAATAACCCTCCTAATATGTTACATACAGTTGCATAAGCATACATTTGCAAAAGTACAATTGTTTGAAGGTTTAGGTCTTACTAGGAGCTTTGGTTGATTGTCAAAATAAGCTTGTTCTATATTGGATTACAGGTACCAAGTGCAGTCAAAAGAAACAACTCACATATCAATTATAATAAAGTAATAGAGGGGCAGTCAACTACAAAATTCTTAAGTCTAGGTAGGCTAAAATGTGCTTAATGAGTCAAAACATGTAAAATGCATGGAATGGGGTAATTGGGGGTTCAGACATCATTAAAGAAAGATAATAAAATGCTCAAAACAGTACTGGAATAACATAAATGTAAAATCAGTGGTGATACCAAATTTGAGAGCAAACTAGTCAAAACTAGTGTTAACATCAAAATGGGTTTTCTCCTAAGTTTAATTCTGATATATTGAAGGTTATATTTGGATGATTTTATGATTATTACATGCTTAATATGATGCTAATTAGATGCTCAAATGCAGAATTGGATAGAATGTGTAATGAATAAGAAAGGCCTAATTCTATAGACGCATGTGAACCTAGAAAACAACTTAATCGGTCAAATTCTGTAAAATGACTTAAAACTGTATAAACATGATACCAACATGAATCTAACATTAAACAAAAATGTTTGAATAATAAAATCCCTACTGGAATCAACAAAACGGAAAAAGTCATTGGAAAGTGGATGAACAAGTTTTAAAGTATGAACACCAAGGTAGTTATGCATATGTTTGCAATTTGGGTCTGAATGTTTAGTAATGCCTAAATGCATGATCTTAATAGCTAACATGTTTAGTATGATCCTAATCAAAGTCTAAAATAAAGAATATATCAAAAAAATAAAGCAGAATAAAATTCCTAATTCTAGCTAGTCTAGGTAGCCTAAAATGTGCTTAATGAGTCAAAACACAACCACTAGACCTGGGTTCAGAGAATCTAATTAATTTAACTTATATAGTTTGGAATGAACAAGAAAATTTAGAGTGTTGAAGTTGGAACATATTTTAGAGTGTTGAAGTTGGAACATATTTAAATTACTAGTTCCATAGAACTGAGTGAGCAAAACATCAAAAAAAGGAATTGTGTACATTTTACTTATCATATCACCTGCTACTTTAAACATAGTTCATGTGTATACTGGATTGCAGATACCAAGTACAACTACAAAAGAAACATGGCATATCAATTTATAAGAAAGTATTGGAGGGGAGGCGAATTTCAACTACTTTTCTATCAATGTGAAACATATTAACAAAATTCCACTAAGTAAAACCCAAAGAATATTAGGAATAGGAAAATCCATGCCAAAATTGGCACGTGAAATTAATTAAAATATAACAGGTTTTACAGACATCCCTTCCCCTTCCCTGCTTTTTATTTTCTATTATATTTTTTAATTCTAATGTGTCCAAAATGAGAGTTAAATTGCTCCAATAAACCAATGAAGTTGCTTCCTAGCTACTTTGCTGCACCATCACTACGGGAGAGAATTAATGCATTGTCCAATCAATGCATTAAAAAAATCAGCTTACTTTCTTTTCAATGCCAAAACAACTCCCTCAATTATTCACCTCTCTATGCTCCTCTTCAATCATACCTTACAGTATATATATATATATATATATATATATATATATGACTTTTGAAATAATACATATTCACCAACACTATTAATCAACATATATATGACTTTTGAAATAAATTATTAGTGAAGGATAAATTAAATAGAACAAAACACTTCCTATCAAATTTAGTATGAATTGACAAGTGCCTCTCTGCACCAGTACAACATTCTGTCATTGCATGTGAAAGATTAAAATATTCCTGATATTGTATTTTAGTAAATATGGTTGTTGATTAAAAGAAACTCCCATAGATGTGACTTTGTGATGAAATTGATTTACCTAAAAGGGGTCTGAACATTTTGGATTAAGCTGTGACAATTAATATATGCATAAATTGTAATGTCTGATGTTGAAAAACTGTAAAAATATATTTCAGGAGAGAGGGTACTCGACTTTCACACACAACCATCCACACTGATCAAACAAATATATTATTCTTAACATCTTTTTCTTCTTCATAAGACCACTAACAACACATACTACTGCTTTATTATGCTATCTTAAATTCAATTAATTATTTTTTTCTTAATTATAGTGATAGTAGTTTAATTTTCTAAGGACTGCAACATAATTAATTATAATTTTCTAAGGACTAACCATTTAGTCTTTTAGTTATGACTTGGGGGGAATTTTCATTTTCAAAAGGTTCTCTCACAAGTTCTTTGATTGGCTAGAAAAGTTTTAAGAAACTAAACAATTGTAACTTTCCAATGTAATTGTGTTCCTAATTTCAGGCTTGCCATTTGGCCTTATGCCAAGTTGATACTTAGTTGTTGGCTAGTTCTTCCACAGTTCAGTGGGGCAACACATGTTTATAGGCACTATGTTAGACCATTCTATATGAATCCACAAATGCCAAAGTTTCCAGGAGCCTCTCAAATGTGGTATGTTCCTCGAAATAACATATTTAGTAAGCAGGATGACGTCCTTTCTGCTGCTGAGAGGTACATGGAAGAGCATGGAAATGAAGCATTTCAAAGACTCATAACCAAGGTACACATTGTCCAAATTTTTTTGTGACCAGTACTTATGGAAACCAAGAATCTTATGGAAGGTTTTAGATGTAAATTATAGTTACTTTTGTTATTTTCATTCAGAACAGAATTTATAGGAAGCATCCTGTTTTAGTGCAATTTAAGCATGAAAATATATGCAGCTAGGCTTGTTTTTAATCATAAAAAACACTTATGGTTTGGTTATTGATATATGCAAGCTGATAGAGAAGCTAGAGGACGGAGGAACGAAAGTTATATGATCTTTGATGATGATTATATATATTAATTAACTGTGTTAACCCTTAAACTCATCTGTAGTATCACCGTGGCGATACTTTAATAGTGATTAAGTGTAAGACTTATGAACTTAGTTAATATAGATATAAGTCTAGTTCAGGTTGACATATTTCATCTACTTAATTCAACTATAAAGACAAAAGGAGGAAACATAAAAAAAATGGAGAAAGTGATGGACTATCATTGTCGTGATCAAAGTCAAGAGTAATCACTACCTTCTTTTCCAAAGTTTTTTTCGACTTCAAGTATGTGGATATGAACACACTAACTTTACTTTTCGCTCAGCTAAATTTGATAAACAAAAATTTCCATATATTCAATTTATTCATTGAAGACTACTAACAGTAACACAAGACTGAAGTTGTGCAATGATTGTGTAGTGTTAAATCTGAAGTGACTTTGATGTGTTTGTAATTCGCTAGACATGTTTGGAAAAAAGAGGGCTCCTCCAAAGGCTGAAAAACTTGTGGACTTTCACTCAAACATTGTCAAGAAACTACAATCAAGTACCCTGGTCATCCCGTGGTACTTGCAGCCAAATCAATGGGTTCAACTCACTAACATACTCAAAGACGTAGGAGAAGACTAAGTTTCTTTCAACACTTCAATGCCATCAAATTAAACAAAACACAAAAAATAACTGACATTTAACCTCTTTTTCACTTATGGGTATCTCACCTTCACTTGCCAGGAAATGAAAAACAATTACCAACATAACTAAAAAACAATATAAACTAGGCCTATGACAGACAATGTTTAAATAATATATGCACCAATAGTGAACATAATAGAAGTCAAGCATACATGAAGCATTACAATAACACACTTAACTCTCCTATTAAAGCAAAAGAATAATCAGCAGTAAAGACTAAAACACATAGGAAACATACCTTTAAAGCCCTCTCGATCTTCACTAAACAATACAACACCAGCTGAATGAAGATATTCTAAAAATGCCCCAAAGGGTTCCATACACCGACCAAACCACACACCATTTCGTGCCCGGAAAAAAAAAATATACATATTAGGGTTTTTTGATATCACAAATTAAGGTATTTAGGAAAAAAAATATACATATTAGTGTTAGTCCATGTTCTAATTACATTGTGATATAATGCGTGGAAAATGAAGCTCCAGAGCTAAGTCCCAATTAGCCTAACCAGGTTGCAAGCATTGGGCTGGAGGTGGGGGTTCTGGGTTTGGTTAAGGCTATCCCTAAGATGAAGGATATCTAAAACCTACTGATCTACTGAGCCTCACAGTTGTATACACCATGGCATGAGGATCTTTTATGACAACGAAAAGTGTTAGAGTCACGAATTTGAGTAAAGGGGACCAATATTGAATATGTAACATGTATCATCTTGATACATGCTTGTACTTTAAAAGAGCGAATAGGAAAGACTGAATTGTTCTGTTGTCTAAAATGTTGAAAATTGATACAAATATATAGATTCGAATGAGGTGACCCGAATTAAAGAAATAAGGAAGCAAATGAAAAATTAAAAATGTACACAATCAACCATTACATACTGTAATTGAAGTCACAATCGTACTTAATAAGCTATATAATCTTATCATATAGGGTGGGTCCATGCCTACACTTGTGAACCTACTTTTCATAGAAATTAAAGTGTATCAACAACTTTGGGTTAATTCAACATTAAAGTATTTTGATACCATTGCACCATCAGGTTCGTTAACCTCCAACTCTCGATCAACTTGTATGGAACGTGCCAAACATCTTTTATCCATAATCCAATATAAGTACAAAGTCAGTTCAACTAACATGCATACTAACTACAACAAAATCTATCTAAGGGTAATCTAAAAATCCACTAAGTTGTCTAAAACAGTTTTTAATGTTCATCTAACACAACTTAGAAGTACTTGTTTTGGTGAAATTCAAATCAAATTTAGAATGAAAAGCCAAACAATTTAAACTACTACTAAACTAAGTGAGTGAAATCTATCAATTTAAGACACTACACTAATAATGGTCTAAAAACAACTAATTAGCACAGGAAGTGTTGATTCAAGATATACTAAAGTAGTATATATGACCTTTTATCACCTTTCAATAAC